AAAAAAAAAAAAAAAAAAAAAAAAAAAAAAAAAAAAAATCACAAAACATTCATGAAATCCTTGAGGGACTGAAAAAATGTTCAATATTATTTTTAACAGTTTGTGAACAAGTTCTATCAATACATTCTAGCACAACCGGCCCTTTAAGAGCATTCGTAATCTCAATTTGGCCCAAAACAAAAATGAGCTTGACACCCCTGCCTTAAAGGATTAACTTAATCACCCTTCTTGGATCGTTCTAACCAGTTTGGTTATTTTGGTCAATAATAATCCAGATTAGTTCAAATGTTTTAAAACACACCCAGTAGTGTTTTAAAACACAACACACATACACACCATTGTGTGTGTATGTAATCTGCCACTGGATTTTAAGGTGTATACCTGTTTAATGTTCTAGCCAGATATTTAGTTCCATTTCTGTTTGCGAGTGATGGATACTTCTTTTGTAGGAAGGCATATTCATCACGAATGGAATCCGCCACTAATTTCTTTTGATTGATGTCCAACTGACTCCTGGGGAAAAAGCACAAAAAGCAGCGATCAGAATGTGTTGAGCTGTGAAATTAAGCTCCGTTTTCTACTATTATTGCTGGGAGCGGAGCTGCATATGAGCTCAGAGATGTTCCAGTAATACCTGTTAACTACTCCAATAATACCCAGTTTGACAGGGATGACTCTGCCCATCAGAACATCCATGGCATCTGTGCCGGCGTCCATAAGATCCAGCTTGGTCACCACAGCGAGGGTCCTCCTTCCTGAACATAAAAGACACGCCCGTGAAGTTCAAACACAGCAGGGAATTCACACCCGCATGACTCGGAGGGAAAATAAAAGACAACGCGACGCCAAAACAGACGGGGGACAGGAAAACAAAACAAAGATGGCATTTACCGTCTGGGTCGACCTCTCGGGCCACCTTTAGAGCCTCTGACGTCGCCATGTCGGTGTTGGCAGCAGTCACAGCCAGGATTATGGAGTTAGGGTTGGAGATGTATTTTAGAATCAGCTCCCTGATCTGGATCTCTATGTCATTAGGTTGGTCCCCCACTGGTACCTATATAAAGAAGCAGATAAAGGTTTGAAACCAAAAGGCAGTGAAATGACCTAAGCAAACATGTTCCAATTAATCACAAGTTATTTATTTGTATTTGATCAAACTTAAAATGGTATTAATTTTCTTATATTTTGACTAAGTATGTTCAATAAATCCTAGATTTGCAGGCTTCCAGTTTTCTATTGGTGTCTGTGCCTTTAAAAAATAAATAAATAAAATGGAAGCATACATGCAAAACACAACACAGCAGAATAATGAATGAAAAAAAGATTACATGCTTGCTGTGTTTATAGAGAAAATTTGTAAGGAAAAAAATCAAAATTGAGCAACAAATTTGTATAATTGCGCAATCGTAAGACTCAAATTAAACTGATATTGAAAAACTGATTAGGCAATAATCAACAGGTCATGAAAAGTTGTCTCGCTACACTAGACTAAATATTGTTGGAAGCCTTAAGCAAGACATAGAAATGTACTAAACATAGGGATCACTTCTAAAATTTGTCTTTTAATTTAAGTCGCAAATATCTATTATGAATTCATCCATTTGTAGGATTTGGGGATTTTCTTTGAAAACAGGACAGAGGATGATGAACAAAAAAAACAAACAAAAAAACCTTTTAGCATCGAGAAGAGAAAATGCTTTTGGAAAATCTGTGACAGAGCTTTCTGAGGTACACGGTTGTTGTAAAACATATATTTTTGCACATACAGAGGCCATCAGTCCTCGATGCAGCCATTCAGGGATCAATACCAACCTTAGGACTTTTGCTGTGTATTTTTCCAGCGTCTCCAATGTATCATTAACCTTCCATTGTGATGCTTTCAGTTTAGCATTTTAAGGAAATGCATCTTTCATTCCTCCTCGCAAGACATTTTGTGGGTATAGCTAATCAAACTATAACTAAACAGGAGAGCGGCTTGTCAATGACCATGGCGTCCATCAACCAGATATTTTAACGTGTAATTGTGGAAACTGAAACGGGAACCTTCATGTGAGATTTCATTAAAACCTATACTTGTTTTTGACAAATAAGACTAAATCGCCCAATTAAAAAAATTATACAATTTCCATACACTACATAAAAAAAAAAATTACACGTCTATGCTGGAGATTTTCAAAGCGAGACTGAAACTTATCTTACTTTTGTGATGCCAGGAAGGTCCACTAGCGTGAGGTTCACAACATGCGGAGAGAAGATTTTCAGGTGAATAGGTTCATCGCTAATACCCTGAAACAAAAATGCCAAGATTAATCATTTTCAACGAAAATTTTCAAGCGATGTGGCTTTATTTATTTATTTTAAATTCCTTTCTAAGCCTACCTTGTTGTTACCCGAAATTCTTTCCGTCTCTGCTTCAATCTCTTTCCTGATCTCCTCAAACTCTGCGTAGATCTGAAAGTGAATGTTAACCACAGGATGTAAGGACAGCAGGAACAGACGGCATCCATTCAAGTACAATTTTTAAACAAAGACGAAGGAAAGGAGCAAAAATGAAAACACAATATTAAAAAAGGAACCCTCTGATATCTTTATTATTAGGCTATGAGAACATCAAGAACCACCTTTTATGGAACTTTACCATGAAGGACATTTACTGTCCAGCCAAATATATTTTTAGCAGTTAACAGGAGACCACTGACTCTTATTACAGGTTATAGATCTTGTGCTGCACTTGTAGAAGTAGCACAAATAACGTGATATAGCTTATCATTAAATAGTATGGCAGTAATAGAAAAAAGGGGCTATGATCAGATGCAATACTCTAATATTCAGACATTTATACACAGCAGACTACTAAGAAACTTCAATAACAAGGAAAGGAATGCAAGGAGGAAGTAGGTAAATTCTACCTTGTTTTTGGTGTGCAAGAATTTACCCCATTCCTCTCCCTCGATGCCTGCAGAGACACAAAGATAAAATCGGATATGGTCATGAAAACATGGCTGCCGCTATGGCAACAGTCCCCTTGTGAATGTCCTCTGGGAGGATTTTTGTCACGGCACAGACGGAATGGAAAAACTAAAACTAAACATGGACAGCTGCGAAGCTTACAACAACAACAACAAAAAACTTGGATGCGTTTACACAATGACGGAAAACAAAATGCTGTCAAAGGGAGGACAAAAAAAAAAAGAAAGAAATAAAACAGGTAGATGAGACAAGCAGAATATATAGAGCTAGATACATTTATTGGCATCTCTAACAATTATTTTATTAGAAATGTAACTGAAGCGGTTTCTCATTTATACTTTATTTTCTTTTAAGTTGATCAAGATAGTTTTATGTATTAATTAACAGAATTCTGGAGCATAAATATGATGTTCACTTTTTTGTTACTCGCCCTTGTTACACTATAGCTGTGTAGGAGTAAAGGCACAAAAAAAAAAAAACTCCCACTATGACAAATGTAAGCAAATGGAGTTTATTGAACTAATGTGACATATATTTTAGTCATATGAGAATAAGTTGGAGCGCTTAAGAAGCAAACACTCCAGGTTATTCTGGGAGGAAACGATTCGGTATGGATGAGGATCTGTGGGTTGTTTTACTTCCAAAAGGTCCTGGTGGGAGGGCATGATATCACAAAACAGGAGGTACAATCTGCCAGGACACGAACCAGTGGTTGTCACATTGCTGCTGAATAATGATCCAAAACATAAGGGCAAATTAATACAGAAAAGGTTCACCAGAGATAGAAGTCAACCTTCTTCTTCTACGGCATTCTCAGTCCCCAGACAGGAGCACGATTGAAAACCTATGTGTCACGCTGAAGAGAGCCTAAGAAGGAAGATGAGATCTGGAGGATCCCGCAGGATTGCGTAACGAGCAATGATCAACGATCAAAGATCAACGATCAAAGATCAACGATCAAAGAGACCCTCCATCTGTATGTTTGAGGAAACGCCAAAGTGCAAACTTATTAGCAAAAGTATTTTTTAAAGCCAACTATTTCTTGATATTGGATTTTTTTTATTTATTTTTTTACCCATTGAATAGATGTATTTTAATGAAATTAAAAGGTAGAATTATTTGCAATAAATGTATTACTTTAAACAGCTACAAAAATAGAAGGGAGGATGAAGCAAAAAGGGCTGAGCAAGTGGGATGGGTTCACAGGTGGGGGGTTAATCTAGAAAACAGAAAAGGAGACCTTTGTAAAGGCGGCCATTTTTCTTGGATGCTGTGGTTGAAGAGAGACAGAAAGGTTAAGGCTGGCTATCTGCAGCATCTTGATGATATTAAAGGAATGCAGCATCACTCTGAGGGAAATTCCAGAGGATAAAAGTAGCTGTTCAAAGAGCTTTCAGGCAGTTAACCAAAAATAAAAAATAAAAAAATCAAAGCCACCTACAGAAAGAGAAGCATACAGGTGCATCTTAAGATATATTTAAATAAGTAGCACATAACTAATTGAAATCAATCAAGTTTTATCATAAAAAAAGAGGAAGAGGTGACGGTTCTGTTACCATTCTCTTCATTGGTTTTCCTGCGATCATCTGCGTCAATGTGTACAAGCTGCAGGATGAGGGGCCGACGCGTCACGATGCCGGTTCCGCGCGGTAGGATGTCCCGGCCGACTAGGCTCTCTAAAACAGAGCTCTTCCCACTGCTCTGTGGACAACAGCAGCAACATTATAAACACTGGTAAACAGCAGCCTCTAGACATGACTAATGGGACACACAAATCATTTCTTGACAGGAAAAACCAGTCCCAACAGGCAAATAATTAAAAAAAGAGAACATATGGCTGCTGGTTACACCTACAGTGGCATTTCATTCCATCTTTCAGGACACTTCTGCTGCACAGAGGAGGTAGGGCTAAAAATGAACCTATTATTCATGGAGAGATTCCTAAAATGAGTCATTACTTGAGGGTTGGACTAGTAAGTGATTCAAGACATTTAGCTGTAACCACAGAAGAAAAGCACTGCAGACAATAAGTGTGAGCATGAGGGTGGAGTTGCTCTAAAATGTTCCACTAGGTTTATGGCAAACTCCAGCAAAGATGAGAAGCATCTCTTTCCTTGTTGGTTTCTTTAATTTTAGGCCTTAAAAAGTTTTAAATACATCAAAGGTTTCCATAAAATGTCTCAAAATATATCTTAAATTTCATTGCTTCTACCGTCATCTTTCTTTTTTTTTATTTTCTTAAATTTTTTTGGGAGGGGAAAATAAATAAGCTAGTTGCACTTATTCTCCCTGGGGACATCATGAGTCATCAAGCAGCGACATAGCTACAGGTCCACTGTTATGGATGCATCAACAAATCAGACATTTTCCTTAAATCGGCTCTGATCAGAACGTCTAATACAAAAACATCTGACATTTTTTACATGTTCCATTTTCACATCGACACTAAGAACTCTGCATAAAAAGACATCAGCATGCACATTATTAAGTAGAGAAAAAAACCAGTGATAATGATACTTTGTTTATTTTCTCTTGGATTCAAAGCTTTAACCTTTATCAAAGGACAACTATCACATGTTCTCCTTTAAGTATTACAGCCCTGATAAACTTCGGAACTAATCAAAATCTCAATCAGTGTGGCTGAAAAACTGAAAATGGAATTAGCCGGGAAAAGCCCTTATTGGTGCATCTTTACACCAATCCTTATTTTTAAGATTCCCTTAAAAATAATAATAATAATGATAATAATAATAGCAAAAATAATTTTACTTCTAAAACTAGCTAACTGGCTTATTTAAGCAATTAAATTCAAACAATTTTGCTATATTCTCATTGAGACACTTGTTTGTAAATAACTGTTATGAAGTGTACCTGTATACTGTAGGAAGTTGCTGAAGTAAAGCAGGTAATCTGGTTGTAAAAGCCCACATATCGAATATTAGGACAGAAAAATACCAACTTGAGTTGGTAAAGTCACATTTAACTTCGAGTTATTACGGAAGTGAAATGCAAATTATCATTATATGACTTTTTTATGATTAATGCAAGTCCTGAACTAATATCATAACGGTGACAAAAGTCGAGTTTAACTTACTGAAACCCTGTCTCATTTACTTTGTGGAAGAGGAACAAATGAGATAATGGCCGTTCAGGTAATGTTCTTTATAGAACATTGATTAGGCCAAGCAAACATTACAAACTCTTTCACCTAGCCTTCTCTCCATGACAACCTAGGAGAGAAGGCAAACTGTCTGAGGCAGTTACATCCTATTAGCAACCAAGTGAAGTTAAATCTCTTAGACAAAACCTTCCACTTTAAACCAATTAGGCTCTAATGTTTACACACGATAGCTACTACCACATTTTAAACTTTAATAGCTTACTTAGCTGATAAATAGAGCACTCTATGAGTTAAAATGCATTTGTTATTATTGCTTGACGTTCCCTATGAACTCTCAAATGAAACAAACAGTATCATTAATGCGAACGGTGAATGAAAACAAACAGAGCTTGTACCTAGCTAAACTAGGAACGGGAGTAAAACGGTACAGGAACAGCAGTTTTAATGCTAATGACTGATAACGTAAATGCACGTTCAAGCCAACTGTCAATAACAGTTCAGAATATGCAAAGGTAGCTAATGCTAACCTAGCTCTAGCGGTAATTGTTCAATTAGAACATGCAACTAGTGTACGGTCAAGTGAGTTAGTTTATTGATACGGTGTTTGGCTGAAAATGAAAGGAAAACATTTTCAGCCAAACAGCTGAAAATGTAACACCAAACAGCCACAACAATTAGTTTACGCAGGCTGGAAAACTTGCTAGCCTTTAAGCACAGAGACGTTTCTCACCTGGGTTCCAACAACAACTATCTGGGGCAGCTGAATGATATCCGCACCGACTGTGTTAAATACATCTTGCAGCTTATTAATGACAGGTATAAGGGCCTCCATTAGCGTCGATCCAGAAATCCGAACTGTCCTCCAAAGAACTTTTCTTCACGTGAAACCACACAGGGACAAAGTCATTCAATGTCCCCTCCGCTAAAGCTACTTTTGACTCCTGGATTTGGCCACAACTGCGCAAACAGTTCGACGGAACTGCATTGTGGGAGTTGCAGTTCAGGGGGATAAAGGCGGGTTTGTTTGAAGCAGGCTAAACTACAACCGTTGTTTCGTCACATGTATCGCACCAATCAAAAAGCATATCACCCCTCCGTCACCTCCTATCCCCACCCATTCACCAAACAACGGTCTCTATGGACCAAAATATTTACCTAAATCTCTGGACACGACACCATACTGCCAGAGTGTGATTAGAAAAGTATATACAATATTTAAAAATAATTCCATTCAACAAGTTTAAGAGAAATATGCACATAGAACAATAGATTTAAAGTTGTAATTTCTGTGTAACTGTAATAACTGTGGCTTATGGAAAAGGTTCATATCATGATCACCAAACTAATATCAGCTTCTCAATAAAACTTGTCAACAGGGTTAAGCATAAAGTATATAGCTAGCTGATTTTGGACTTGACAAAATACAATGGATCAATGTGAGCAGGTGACATGGCTCCCAGAATCCTCACTAACTGTGCTAACTTTAAACTAAAACCTGTTGTCTTCTTCCAGACTCTTGGACCTTGATTTTCAAATTAAATACAACATTTACTCTAATCTGAACAGAAGAAGAGTTTTGGACTACTGGGTAACAGTCTCCAGCTTAGGGGTTTCATATCCTGGCAAGGAAAGTCCCAGCTGTAACATGTTTAACATGTCCTGTTTGTAGGATGTGATGTTTGATTTAGTTTCCTCAGAAAGTGGAGTCTCTGTTGTACAATTTTCACAATCACAATGGATGATTGACAATTACCAATAACAATATAATCCCTGCTGTCAGGATTGTGTATTTATGGCAAAATGTTCAAAATTCAAATCAATGTTTTTAAATTTAGTCACTCATCCCATCTGTGATTACAACTCAACTCTAAACCAATAGTTTTGTTCTTACAATTGATTTACAACATTTAAAGTGTCTTTAGATATTTTACAGTAACAAACCAACATATGAAAAACAGAAATTTATCAACACTGGACAAGGATTTATATTAAGAATTTACTTGGCCCTAACAGTTTTATTAGTCAGTATAGATGTTAGGTCATACAGCTCATATTCAAGTGACTCAAAAAAAAAAAAAGAGCAGTTGGACATGCTTCCCAGGTTTTCAAAAACAGTTCTCCCAATTCAAACAAGCTCTCTGTGGTTCAGACTGATAGGAAGATTAAAGTTAAAAGGAAATAAAGCTATCCTTTTGAAGAAGTGTTTTCAAGAACCGAGACAGGACGTCCTGCTGTCTACGAATTGAGCACTCATCTTTAGGGTGCATTGTTTTAATCTTAACAGTTCCACTGCCCCACTTGATGTAAACTCTGACACACAAACATATCTATGATACTAGAGTTTCTTGTTTCACAGATAAATTACTTTGCACCAAGTGCACTGGAAAAAAAAAACAACAACAAAAAAATGTTGACCATAAACATTACAATAAAAACATTAAAACAAAAATATTACTAGCACCATACAATGTAGGAGTGTTTCAAGAGGATGTGAAAAAAATGCTGAAACACAAGTTTAAATAACCAACATGTAGAGGAAGGTAGGTTATTGTGATTCCTGTTTTCCATTTGAAAAACTTCAGTTGTAATGGAAGATGAAGCGGATCCTAGACTAAAAATAAATGATGTGACACATGAATTCTTGTCAAAACTCAAAGGCGCTTGCTTCATGGAAAAAAAAAAAAAACTTTCTTTCAACTTACACAAACAGTAAGCAAAACTCACTACATTCATTCACAATAAAGCTTATTTGAATTTAGAGCAAAGCTATCTCTAACGCGAGTGTAAGCTTGCAACCCACTTTCTGCTGAACGATCCTGACAACACCGCATTACCGATCTCGTTGAAGCAATTTAGGTCATAAATGACTTCACGATGCGGTGCAGTCCGTGTAAGTGGTCACCATGTTTCCTCTGCGCTGGGTTACAGTTCTGCAGTGCTGCTTCGTTGTACCGTGAAACCTGCCTTCAGTCTGTTTGGCGTTTCTATCGAAAGTAAACATTCTGTCCATGTCGTCAAACATGTCGTCGAGGATCCCCGCCCCGAAGCCACCCTGAAAGTGTCTCCTGCGTCTGCTGTGGGACTCCTTGTGGGATTTGGAGTGTTCTTCGAAGTGTCGCCTGTGACGAGAATGTCTGTTCTGGCTGTAGATGTTGAAGTCCTTAAACATGTCGTCAAAGTTGAAGGTGAAGGGCTGGTGGGTGCCTGCTCTTTGCGTCTCCCCTCCTGTGTACACGTCGTCGCCAAACTGATCGTACTCTCTTCTTCTGCTCTCATCGGACAAAACTTCATAAGCTGCACCAAACAAAGCGACAAATAATTCAGTCAATGAGATTGAAAAAGCAACAAAGGTTACAATTACAGGATTCCGTTATGTGAACAGGAAGAAAAAAAAAGTGCATCGGGCACATTTTATATCAACCCACAAAGATGCTTCTCTATTTTTTTTTTAACAGTGCCTTGCGAAAAGTATTCACGCTCCTTGAACTTTTTCACATTATCATATTACAAACACAAGTGCACATGAATGTGAAAAGAAACAATTTTCAAAATTACTTTTTATAAATAGAAATGACTGGGAAGCATTTCGTGCTCAACTCCTGCTACCACCAATGTATGATCCAATTTTTCTCTTGGGGAAACATTTTATGCTGGACTAAACAACTAGTGTCACCAAACATTGCAAACATGCAAACCCTGAATGCATGGACGTTAAATAATTTGCTGACATTTGTTGCAGTCCAGGTGGGTCTTTACGATATGGATATTGCATTGACAATAAAATCACAGTATATTGTGCAGCCCAACTATAAATCTACTAAGGTTGGAGAACGTGTCAAAAAGGATTGTTATTAGTTGAACACTTACTAAATCTGTAAATAAAAGAACACAATTATTTACAGAAAGACATAAGACATTCCATTAAAGTCTACCTCATGAACATCTGTCAGAAAATGTTGAAAGGTTGAAAAGTTACTGTAAGAAATTGCAGCTTGACCTTTGATGATTTTAAAACTGCAAACAATCAGTTTGTGGCAAATCTGACGTCAAACAATATCTGCCTATATGTCTGGCTTCACAAACTGCTTACCTTCAGCGATTTCTCTGAATCTTACTTCAGCATCTGGACTCTTGTTCTTATCGGGGTGAAATTTCATTGCAAGCTTATGGAAAGCCTTCTTTATCTGGCGTTCTGTTGCACCTTTGGGCACTCCCAGTATATCATAGTAGTCCTTCTTGGCGAGAATCAGCTCTGTTATCACGAGGACGCATACTGCAAACATCAGGACAGACTGTACAGCTGCCATGGCTACACTGTGCCCTGCATTCAAGAGAAAAAACTGTGATATAATAACAACAACAATAGATATTTGTCATTTTGAACCTGATACCCAGGCAAACAGCAACAGTTATGTTGCTGTAGATAGTGCAATTATTGTGGTTAATGAGAAACTGACAGCTTATTTTTCGAAGTTGGTCCTAGTAAAAATAGGACCAACGTAAAAAAACAAAACAAAAACCCAAAATTATTTTTCTCTTAGTGATGTAATACAGCCTCTCCTAGCATAACCTGCTAACATTAGCTACTGTTCTCACGGACTCCTTCAGGTTAGGCTCACCTCACTCACCTTTCTGAAAGCCAAGTGGCGTCCTCTTTCACAGGATCTTTAGATATCTAACCAAAACAAAACCATAATGATGATGTAACGGTATTAATTAACACTATAGACGGAGAGCGTTCAAAACCCGGTAATTTCCTTCTTTTCTTCGCTGGTTTTCTATTCCTCACATCTTTTGCGACTCCTAGTGGTCATTGCTATCATTACTTCCATTTCAGCTGTTGAAAATATTATCTTTGCGTATAATCAAATTATTAAAAAAGTGTGCACTATGAGGACTACTTGTCTTTATGACAAGTAGTTCATTTTATGGGTAGAGGACGAAAAGGCACATCCTCTGAGATTAAGCACCAAAACTACATTCCTTATACTGTAACTAAGGTTTTAGCCCTTATCCCAGTCCGTACCCACCACTCACCACTGAATAAAGTGGGGCAAGTTTCTCAACCAATCAGTGAGTTCCTTTTATGGGCCAAGTTTTATACAGCCAATAGAGAAGCAGATAGAGCGTCACGTGAACGTTGTTATTCTTTCGACGGTCACCCTGTCGTCATTCTGGAAATTGTCTGGTTAAATAACGTCTAATGTAGTCGGACGGTGGTTATGTTTTTGTGTTAAAGCTAAACAAAGGAGGGCGACACAATGAAATAATTATGGGATGTTTTACCTCATTGAGACGACAGCATAAGAAGACAGGTATGAGTTGTTATGTCTCGAATGGCCTTTATGAAACTAACAAGTTGCGCTAAGCTAGTATCTGATCTGCAGTTGCTTTCAGCTGTTAGATTTAATCTATTTCTCCCGATAAAAGCGACAGATTCTCAAACACTAGTTTCACCATCTTACCATTTCGTCATTATTGCCTCATTTCTGTTTTCGTTTTGCGCTTCCCCCCCGCCCCCTACCTGTGCTTCTTTGTTGTCCATTTGCAGGTTAATGACAGTACGTGTAGATCTAATATTTCATCGGAAGGTGTCTGTCTTCTTTCTCTGACACAATATGAATCATAGATGGGCCCCAAATATCTGGGTGAAGATAGACAGAGCATCTTCTATGTGTCAGACTCATTCTCGCAGGTCAGCGGCTTTACTGCTCTTGTTTGGTACCTCCTCCTGTAGGATCCATGTGCAACAACCTGTTGGCTACCTCAACCTGAGGCACTTCCATCATCTGAAGACTAGAGGCAGGAAGGCATGGATCTTTAAAGCCAGCCAGGTTAGGCAGCGACTTGGACTTCACACCAGCTCCCTGTGTTTGAATACTTCAGCTTCCAGGTGGTCTGCGGGTCTGAGCCAGCACATGTCGCGGGTCAGGAGTACTTTGGACACAGTTTCCAAGGCTGTAAGTGGGACGCACACACAGCTTCTGTCCAAAATCTCTCGCCTCAAGCCAAAGGAACAGACACAGCTCCTGGCCAGTGTTGAATCTACAGCAAAACCTGAGGAAAAGGCAATCACCCCCACTCCTGCTCCCACTGTATCCACTACACCCAGTTCTTCTGCACATGCTGGCCTCTCTACTTCTGCAGCTGCATTTGATGGGAGGACCACTGCTTCCACTACTCCCGCTGGTTCTGCTCAGGTGACTGTCACCCCTGCGATTGTCACTGTGCGTGACGTTAGTAATAAAAAGCTGAGACGAGCTGCTCCCACTGTCAAAGCTACTAAGAAACAGCAGGAGGAGGAGGAGTTTCCTGCACCTCAGAGTAACAATGGGAACAAAACCACTACTTCCAAAGAAACTCAAGGACTTTTCCATCCCAGCGCATTTTCAGCCAACCTAGATGAGACCTACAGTTACTTGTCTCATCACATCAACTCTTACTTTGGCACCGGAGCAAAGACTCAGAACGAGAAAGGCGACAATGTCGACAACAACCCACCTCCCTCTCAGCCTCAGCAACCCTCCGACCTCGTACCTGTGTCCGATAAAGCCGGCCGCGCCGCTCCGGTCACCCCTTCGTCCTCCAAGAAGAGTTTGGGACAGTACTTGTCCTATTCCGCTCCCACTGTGCAGGCATTTGTTGGGAACTACATTGCTCCTCTTGTCCCTAAATTCAGAGCGGGAGAGTCTAAAAGCACCGCGATGGAGGAGAAGAAACCTGAGGCCGTGACGGTGAAACCGACTGAAAGCCCAGTTAGCAGAGAGCAGAGTGCTGCAGAGGAGAAAGCTAAGAAACTTCTGCTCCAACGGGAGAAGGTAGGTCAGCAACAACTGTGTATTTTATGTACGGCACTGTTACTTGAGCAGGGTTCTTATGTTAAACTGTTGTGTGTTTGGAGTCAAGGATGAGATTCTGTGTGTGTGTGTTAGGTTGGATATTTACCTATAGTTAAGTAGAATACGATGCCCATGCATGATGGTTGTGAGTCTATTATTGCTGTTTACACAGGGTCTCCACCCCCCCATCACTCTGTAAGTCAGCTGGTGGTGTGCTTACATCGTCTCTCAGTTCTGAGAATCTGTTTTCAAAAATAACCCCTCCCAGACATTCTGTACACATGCTGTAGAAGTGAAAACACCAAACGGCCAGTTACAGCAAAGTGAAGCTAATAAGCTATAAACATATACAATTCTTCATATATTAATTTAAATATTTTCTACTGAAAACAAAAGACAAACGTCTTGGTAAACAATACAAAAAAAAAAAAAAGTAATTTTATTACAGGCCACAATTTTAATTCATGTGTTGTGATATCTATATAACACACCACAAAATCGAACTTTTTATTCTCCCCCCCCCTCTCAGATCATAGCCAGGGTGAGTGTGGACAACCGCACCCGGGCTCTGGTCCAGGCTCTCCACAGAGCATCAGACGTCAGGGTCTACATCAGCAGGGTGGAGGACTTAAGTTACCACCTGCTGGAGTTTCCAGAGACCCGTGGTGTAGCAGTCAAGGTGAGGGATCAACAGTCCGTCTTCTTTTCCCCCTTGGTGGGGCCTGTCGATGCTTTCGCAGATGTTTGTCTAGCACAGATTAGTCTGGTTTGCTTTTAGTGCTTAGTGACTGAACTCACAGTGTAATATGACATTCATCTGTTCATCTTTTTGTGATTAAAGTGTAAATGAATATTATAACACTCACCATAGCTTTTTCTTATTAAACACAGATTTACTCTATTTTAATGTTAGCCTTGAAACATAATAAGAAATGCCCAACTGATCTGACATTGTATTGATTACCTTATATTATCATTTTTTTCTCCTCTATCTGCGCTGCTGGATGAGCAGCTGTTTAATGCTGGATGTTTCTGTTATTTATTATTCAGCTGCTATGTAAAGAGTTCCACTTGTTTAGATTAATTTCACTTTTTGCTGAACTGCAGTGTGTCAAAACAAGTTTGCTGTCATTTGATATGCATACAGTAATAATAATGTTATCAGTTGTTAGTTCAGGATGTTATTGAGAGAACATGAGAAACCGTCTATGGATGTTGTGATCCGTCTTTGTAATTTAAATGGAATCTTTGGGTGTACGGCAGGCTGTGTTAACATAAAATTGGCTTCACCGCACTTTCCTGAACTGTAGGATATTTCAAATGATAAATCCGGTTACATCATTTGAGATATGAAGCTGATTATTTTTTTTTTTTTCTTAAAACAGCCTGCCATATTGGGTACTCATTGCTAGTGTATTTGTTTGGCCTTTAGAAGTGACTTAATTCTTCCTGGAGTAGATTTAACAAGGCATCAACATTTTAGTCTATATTTCCGTGATAGCACCACACAGATCTGAGGTTATCATGATGTGGCTGTCCTGTTCCTCTGCCTGCTCCTTCTTCTATATTTGACTTTGTATAGCTTGTCCATCCATTTCTGTTCATATAATGCCATAGTTGATGAACAGCATCTTTTTGCTCTCTCTTCTTCTCCCCTTTCATGTTTGCCAGGAGAAGGTCATTCCTTGTCTGCTGCGTTTAGAGCAGGCCAACGACCCGGGCTTAAGGGCTGCAGTCAGAGAAGCTCTCGCCTTGGTTGGCTATCATAAACCTGTAAAAGGCCGTGGGATACGAATCCTGTCCATAGACGGAGGAGGTTTACGGTACAGATTTAGCTCTTTTTCTCCTCCTTGCTGCTGAATATGTGTCATGCATCAAACAGTGTCCCGAATCACTAAATATTCAACTGTCCAGTCAGTGCTTTCTGTTTGAATAGACCTTCTGCTCTTGTGTGTCTGACATTTATTCCTTCAGGGGAGTTCTTGCCCTTCAGACCTTACAGAAGCTGGAAGCCCTGACCGGCAAACCCATCCATGAACTGTTTGACTATATTTGTGGTGTCAGCACAGGTATGTTGTCCTTCTGCCCTATTTCACCGCGTGCAGACTGAAAGCATGTTGGTGGATTATGAAAGCAGAGTGCAACACTAAGAAGGATACCGGCTGAACTGTCAGTGCAGATCGCTAAGTGACCCATTTTGTGGCTCGGCTTTTGCTTAGACCTCAGTTTCCCCGACAGCAATGACCTCGATGTTTAAACGTGTTCAAACATTACATAAAGCAGTGACGTGACGCCACACAGCTGGATGTTAGGCCAGCGTCAGCATTATCCCGTTTGATGAATTGTAGTTCACACAGATTATTTGACAGGATTATATTCTGTGAGCAAATCTCCAGAATGTTATTAAAAATCGCTGGAAAGATTAAAATTGTAAAATGTTGAAACCGTTTTTAAATTGATCTACTACTGGGATAGTTTTACTGCTCTCTAGTAACTGAAAATGCCACAAGAGGGCGCTGTGGGCCTTTTTCAGACTCCTTCTACATAACGCAGCAGATTGAACAGAAGCATTTTATAAGCTGAGCAGTGTTTTTAACGTTCTCTCAGCCTTAATCTCCAACAGTTGGAGGAGTTATTGTACTTGAAGATTTAATGCATGTTGACAAATAATAATGCGGTCTGTGTGCCAGATACACTGTGCTCATTTAAACCACATCTGCCCAGTTTGATTGCCCACATTATTCTTGTAGATCTAAATCGCTTCTCTCACAGTTACATTGTGCAATTTTAACTGTGTAAGTGAACATTTAGCTTGGCTGTTGTTCTTTATTTAGGATTAAACGCAGAAGCTTTTTATTATTATTATTATATACCAATCCAGCATCATATTTCAACCTAGTCCTTTTTTTTTTTTTTTTTTTTTTTTTTTTTTAATGGTTTTATGTGTTTTTACCTCAGGAGCTGTCATAGGGTTCATGCTGGGCGTGATCCAAATCCCTGTGAAAGAGTGCGATGATCTGTACCGGAGG